CGCGCTCTCTCTATCTCTCTATCTCTCCCTCTCACCTACACACACTAGCACTTCCTTCAAGTAGCATTTCCCTGATATTTCTCTATTCTCATTTACTTTTTCTGTGGTATTAACTTCAATATCTACATTGAGTTTTAATTCATTATTCAATCTGTCTTTGAGTTATAAGATTATCACCTTAAATATTATCTGATTAATACTGTTGCATATTTTTAAATTAGCTAAAGTCCATTGTTCATTCACATTTCTTTTGTTTTTACCTTGGCTTCTTTTGTCCCAGGATTTCCTCCAGGATACCTTATTACACTTAATTGTTATGAGTACTTGTACTCCTCTAGAGTTCATTTTAAAAATAACTTGTGCTAAAATTTTTTATGTTTTCCATGTTTATTTTTACACAGTTTTTTTTCTAATTGAATTTTAGCTCATTTCTTTTAACATGTGTATTTTGTTTTCCTTTTCGCTACTATTTCTTTCAGTGATTTTAGTGGATATGTATTTTTTTCCCATTAGTGATTATCTTTTCATTTTTACCATACCTATTTAAGTTTTAACCATACCTGGGCCAAATAACAAGGGTTACAACCCAATTGGCTTACACAAAATTTTTGTAAATATTTCATTTCTGTCACCTTTACTCTTTACAAGAAAAACTGCTATAAACACTTTATTAAAAAATTAGTTGCTTTATTTTACTATTCTTCTGCTAAAGAAGTTCTTTGTGTGTTCTCTCAATAGCATGCCCCTTCCTTCCAACCATCAGTTAGAATTCAATGGTAATCATTTTAGTGCTTTACTATTTACTGACGTTTTACCTCCTATTTTTTGTATCCTTACACAGTATAGTTTGGTTAACTGTTTTCTACCTTTATATAATTAGAAATCACATGGTTTATATCATTATTTAAATTGGTCTTCCATTCACTATTGTACTTGTTGAAGTTCATCAGTTTTTTAATGTAGTTATAGTCCAATAGTTTTCATTGCTCTTAGCATTAATTTTATAAATATTATAGTTTATCCATTCCATATCAATGAAAATTTGATTTTATTTCAATTTTGGACTATGAAGATTCATGCAGTTTTGACTTTACTTGCAAATGTCTCCTATTATACATATGCCTGCATTTCTTTAGAGTGTATACCAATAAGTGAATGTGCTATGTCATGAGGTGTACATGTATGTAAAACTTTGAATTGAGGATATTTTAATGATTTGGGTTTTCTTATGCTTCAATGGCCTTTTCATATCTTTTACATATTTTTCTGTCATTCATCAGCATTCACTGCTGTGAAGTATTTTTATCTGTATGGTAGAAGGCTCAGAGGTATGCTGTTTCTCCAGTACACTAAGTTTTCTTGGCATGAGGCAAGTCTTGTAGGGACTTTACCCCAGTGATCTCATAGTTTAGGTAAAGCAGTAGGTGGGCTACTTCTGTTTTTTTATGGATGGACAGTATCCTGTTTGTGGAGCTTACCAGAATCAGATGCCAATCTGTTTATATAAAACTTTTCGGGTATTTTCCAACCCAATTGAATTGAATTGTTTTACAAAAGACTATTAACAAAATGGGAACATTGGAATCATACCTTTTCTTCACTTAATTATGAGATAAAGTTCTTTGATTCCAAGTTCCAGGAAACATTGAATATGAAAGGAAATTCAGGGAGATGAAATCAGCTGTGCAAGTGGTAAAAATGCCTGCAATTGCATGAGGTCCTAATCAGATATGGTGCCCACTGGTAGGTCTCCCCCATCCCACTCCTGTTTATCCTGAAATGCTTTTAA